CGGAATGCAGCCTTGAACGAGGGGGGCCGCGCCGGGTTCGAGGCTGAACGACTGAGGCATGGTCCGGAGCCTCTGCGTGCGCCGACGCCGAACGAACCCACGGTAATGGAGGATGACGATTAATAAGTGACCGGGGATCGTGTTCACGCGGCGGCGCCCGGGGTGACGATTAGAAAAAACCGGCCGCGGGCTGGAAAGCTATTTTCTAATCGTTCTCCTCCAGTCAGAAAGTTGTGCAGAAATAGCAGAAAACCATGTTTTAATCGCTCTCTCTAATTTTTTAACTAATCGTCATCCTCCATTACCCCCCCCCTCCCTGCATCGCCCCCGTCCGTGCTCCCGCTCTGCCGCGCCCCCCCCCACACACACGCACCACTTCCTCCCGCCCTGGCGCCTTCCAGGCCGCCCCCCCGCGCTGCTCTTGCCTGCCCCCTTCTCCAGGCAGGGAGGGGGAAGGACGGCGCGAGGCGGGCTGGAGGGCGGGAGGGGGCAGGGTGGGAGGGAAGGAGGGATGCGAGAAGTTGGATGGAGGGGGGAGACGGAGGAGGAGGAGGAGCAGGAGGAGGAGGAGGAGCAGCAGGAGGAAGGGAGGAGCAGTGAGGAGGAGGAGGAGCAGGAGGAGGAGGAGGAGGAGGAGGAAGAGGAGGAGGAGGAGGAGGAGGAGGAGGAGGAGGAGGAGAAGGAGGAGGAGGAGGAGGAGGAGGAGGAGGAGGAGGAAGAGGAGGAGAAGGAGGAGGAGGAGGAGGAGGAAAAAGGGGGATGATTGGGGGAAAGGGCCTTCAGCCCCCCTGCAAGCCCCCTCCCCTGCTCCAGCCCCCTCCCCCCCTCCCCGTGCCTGCGGAGGGGCGGCCGGAGGCCTCGCTCAAGAGACCGGGGCTCTTGGCGGGGCGCTCCCGCGGGCTCCTCGGGGGGTGCGCTCGAGCAGTCGCCCCCGCGGAGTGTGGCGATCGTTTTCTTGCTCACTGTTTTGCCGATCGGCGCGGGCCCTTGCACCCCCCCTCTCCCCCCCTATGTAGTAGACTGGAGTCGGGCCTGTCCCTCTACAGGAGGGAGCTTCAAAAATAGACAAAAAATAGTCGGGGGATTTTTTTTTGTATTATTTTTGAGCATTGTGGGAGCATTCTCTGAGTATTTTTATTTTTTGCCCAAAATCCCCCTGTAGGGGCACAGCCCCGACTTCAGAGTAGACCTTGGCTGTTTGTCGGCGCCTGTTTCGAGCAGGCGGAGCCTCCCCCATGGGACGCCCTGCTGCAGACAGTCGCACCAAGCAGAGGTCCGGAGCCAGACCCCTCCCCCCTCCCCCCCCCCCCACCACACCCCTCCGCCCATTGTCGAGACGCCGAAGAGGAAAACGTTGACCAGCTCTTCTCCTTCCCCCTCCCGCTGGAAGTGTGAGCGGGCTCCGATGGGGGGGCCGCGCCCTTCGTCCGCGCTCCCGGCACCAGTCCCAGGGCACATCTTCGGGCGCCGTGGAGGGGCACGGCTCCCGGCACCTCGTCGGGAGCGCCCTGGGGCACCCCTCGGCGCCCCTCTCGGAGTGCGTGGGCGCGGGCGGCGGGCATAACACGCACCTGCTGCGGGCGCGTCCGAGGGCACATCCGCGGGCGCACCCGGGGATTTGCCCGCGAGTGCCGCCAGAACTGGTGGGCACACCGCGTGAGCACAGATGTGGGGACACTGGAGGAGGCCGGAGGAGGAGGAGGAGGAGGAGGAGGAGGAGGAGGAGGAGGAGGAGGAGGAGGAGGAGGAGGAGACGGAGGAGACGGAGGAGGGGGAGGAGGAGAAGGAGGAGGAGGAGGAGGAGGAGGAGGAGGAGAAGGAGGAGGAGGATGCTAGGCGCATGTTCGCAGGCGCTGCTGCCAGGCGTCCAGGGCTTGCGCGCGAGGAGCTGCAGCAGCAGCGGCAAGAGAGTGTCCACGGGCCACGCGCAGACGCGGGGGGGGGGGTCTGCTGGGCGGCAACGGACCAGCGGGCTTTCCCGCGAGTGGGCCACGGGGGCCACGGGCCCAGAGGAGAGTGGCGAGCCACGACACGCGCGTCCAAGGGACACGGAGGGCCGCGATTCCGATGGTGGTGCTGATCGGGGCGGGTGCAAAGCGAGATCGGGATGAGCACCAGCATGCAGCATGCATTGTCATTGTGATGCCACGTGCTGGCACCCACTTCGACGATGTAAAGCGCACCGGCGCCTAATACTCGCGCAGGCCAAAGGATGCTTCCTTTGAGCCCTGGATGCCGGACGCGAGCCGTCGGAGTGGCGGCACATGATCCACCCCGGAGGGCCGTACCAAAACAGTGTGGGGTATAGGCACGAGCAGTGGAGCGCGCTCGACACGCTGGGCCGAACCGACATATATCGTTGCAGTTGGTTTAAGTCGGGCGTGTCCCTCGACATGGGGAACATTCAGACATAGTCAAAACATAGTCTGAGGACGATCTTCTGATTATTCTTCGAACATTTGGGGACATGTTTTTTTGTGTGTGTGTGTGTGTCTCTGTGTGTGCGTGTGCGTGTGCGTGTGCGTGTGCGTGTGCGTGTGCGTGTGCGTGTGTGTGTAAGTGTGTGTGTAAGTGTGTGTGTGTGTAAGTGTGTGTAAGTGTGTGTGTGTGTAAGTGTGTGTGTGTGTGTGGGTGGGTATTTCTATTCTTCAAAATCTGCCTCTAGGGGGACATGCCCGACCTAACAGTTGTTGCCCGTCCAGTATGCGAGGCCCCCAAGCGGGGTGGTGACCACACCGTGCGGTGAGTCGGTGGGGCTTCGGGGTCGCCGCACGGTTTTGGGACTCGAGCCCCTCTCCGATCGGGCCGAACGGAAGGGGGGGGGATAGGGAAATGGGGGGTACGAAATCTGCGGCGTGCGGGGCGCCTCCCGGCGCCGGGAGGCGCTGGGAAAAGCAGCTGCGCGAGCCGATTCTCTGCCCTACCCTTTGCTGTCCCCCCCTTTCGTTCCCCCGACTCTCCGAGGATGCCTCGGGCGAGAGGGGCCTCCTTGAGGGTCCCAGGGCCGTCCGGTGACGGGCCGTGCGGTGAGGTCTCCTGGGGCTCCGAGGTCGCCGCACGCTCTGTCGCCACACGGTTCTGGGAGTCCCCAGGGAGGTAGCCACGAGGAGTGCTACGGGCCAGTGGGCACCGACACCTGCACGGCTGGGCCCGCCCCGAAAACAGACAGGGGCGCTTCGGCGTTGCGCTCTGCGGGGTCGGATTCGGGCACATGCGGTCGGTGCTTCCGAACTTCGTGGTCGGGAGCATCTCTGCGAACGCCCCTGCTGGATTGGAGCGAGGTCGTTCTACTCGTAGTAGCAGGGCGCCTCGCCCTTGAATCTTTTCGCGTGGCGATGAGTGTGAAATTATTACAGCAGAGCGCCCTAATACAGTCATCACGCATAGTGAGGGTGTGCAACCATCCCAAGGCTACCCTTGCATCCTTGCCCCTTCGGCCCATCCTTAGCGACTCTCGCTGGCCAACCTCGCACGGAAAACCTCAACTTGGCCCTCCAAGGCCCTTGCATCCTCACCGCGCATGCTTATGATACGGGCTGACTGTAGCAGCAAAGGCGTCGAGTCGAGTCGAGGAGCAGAAGCTCGGCTCCAGGGGGCGGGGGCGAGAGCACACCACCACAACGACCGCCACCGCGACGACGCAACGACGGCCCGTCGCCGCCCCCCCGCCCCCCCGGCCGTGCCTCCTCTTCGGCCGCGCCCTTGCCTGCAGCTCTCGCCTCCCCCCCCCCCTGACTAGCTGATGCCCTCGCCAGGAGCGCAGCCTGGCCAGGGGGGGGGGGTCCTGCCGTGTGCGCCATGCTCCTGCTGCTCCTCCCCCCCTACAGTGGAGACCCCTGCCGAGAGCCACCCTGCTTGCCTCCAGGGTGCCCTGGGTTTCTTGGACCTCGATGGCTTTTGCTATGGAAAGCGTGACGCTCCCACACCAAAAATCAGTGGACGTCCTGGGGTCTCATGGTCGGGTTTCTTGTGGAAGGCTTTTTGTGGACTGGCCTCCACTTTACCCTGCACCCGAGCTGCTCTGGCAGCGCCGATCTTCGCCTTCGGCGTCCGTCTTGGCTGCCCGCCTCGCCTGTGGTTGTGCGGCCACTCAGGCCGTCAGGAATTTGGCTGCTGTGTGCAAGCAGCGACTGTAACTCTATAACAAGAGGCAGCTGTTCAAGCTGCAGAAGGGACTCCCGCCAGGCTCGCTTGAGCTTGCCGAAGATCAGAGGGCCCAGAAGAAGGCCCTCAAGTCAAGAGCTCAACTCTGCCACTGGCTGGAATGAACAAAAAACTAGGCTGCCCGCCCTGTTCCTCCTCCCCCACTCCTCCTCCTCCTCCTCCTCCTCCTCCTCCTCCTCCTCCTCCCCCTCCTCTCCTCCTCCTCCGCCGCCCCCTCCTCCATTTCCCCTCCTCCTCCTCCTCCTCCTCCTCCTCCTCCCTCCTCCTCCTCCACTGCTCCCCTCCTCCTCCTTCCTCCTCTCCTCCCCCCCCTCCTCCTCCTCCTCCTCCTCCTCCTCCTCCTCCTCCTCCTCCTCCTCCTGTTCTTGTCTGGGTCCCAGCTCGATTTTTCGCTGCCGGTCGTGGCCCCCGCCCATAGCTTGGGCACCTCGGTCGCTGCCGCGGGGTGTCCCCTGCAGGGCCCCGCTGGCCTCGAGGGCTTCTCGGGTCCTCCTCGCCTTCCCCCCCCCCCCCCCCCCCCCCCTTTGGGGTAGAGGTGAGGAGGGAGGAGGAGGAGGAGGATGAGGAGGGAGGAGGAGGAGGGGTACTCCAGATTTCGTAATAAAGGGAAGGGGGGTCTCATTTCGGGGGGGGGCCTCTTCCAGGCTATCTTGGAAGGCCTGGGGGGGTCTGGGGAGGATGTTTTGGAGGGTTCTCCCACGGGTGAGGTCTGAAATGGCTTGTCTTGGAGGGTCCAGACCCCCTCCCTTTTATTACGAAATCTGGGGTAGAGGTGAAACAGGAGGCAGCAGAAGGAAGGAAGGGGGAGGGGGTGGGGGGGATGATCGGAGAGAGAAGGGTACAGGAGCTGCCGCAGCTTCGCTGGCATCTCGGCTCGAGCGTGTGGTTTGACCCAGAATGCGCTGCGTTGTTCCCCAGCTTCGGCAGACGGCCGGAAAGCGGCAATGCCGTGGTGGGCAGTGCTCGCCGGTCTGCTGAGCCTGCCGGGTCCGAGCGGCGCAGCGTGCGAGCTCAACACGGGCGGGAGCTGCAACGTGAGCCCCTGCAAGTGGTGGCGCAACGCGCAGTGCACGCTCGTCGGCCCAGACCCAACGAATGCGCACGCGGTATTCCGGAGAGAGCACAACCTGAACTGCACCTGCCCCGAGGGAACCTGCGCCGAGGACCCGCGGCACGCACGCAGGGGAGGTGCGGTAGGGGCCGCCTTCGGAGAAGTCAGGGGACGCCCTCGTCATCGTCGGAATCATCATCATCATCATCATCATCATCATCATCATCATCATCATCATCATCATCATCATCATCATCATCATCATCATCAGCAGCAGCAG